AGGACAAATAACAACTACTACAACTACTACTATTATGATTTAAAATGTGTGATTTTTAGGGGCTGGATCAATTGCACTTTTCTGAGGTTCCAAAAAAATCAAATTAAAAAAGGCCGGAGAACAAGTGACAGTCCTTCCAAAGTGCCATTCAAACATCAGTGGAAGGGCAATCACTGGCAAGATCATTAAAATGAATAGGAGATTTTGCCACTCTGTAAGGATTTCCAACAAGTCACAATAAAATGTAACCCATGCTGGGCTCAGATGGCATGACAACCTATTATGGGCTGAACATCCCCTACAACAGCCAAATTTTACTTTTCAGAAACTGTGCCTGATTCCAATGATGCGCTGTGTCATGTGAACCAGGTCAAAGACACAAAACACAAGCAAAGAATTTCTAGAATTCCTTCACACATTTAAAATGTATATGTAAAGTATGTTACCTGAATAACTTTTAAAATTGTTTCTATAAAACTCAGTTTGCATGTAAGATATATGTGCATATGCAAGTATACCAGCACTTGACACAGAAACTCACAGAGCATGGTGAAACCTCAAGAAATAAGGAGAAAAGAACAGCACCGTAGGTAAGCCAACAGCTTGCTCTACATGACATTCCATTATGGGTTAAATTACTCATGAGGTAAATACATAACCCTAAACCAGACCATGGTTTTTATGAGGGTTGGTTAATCCTCACAACACTCCCACTACCTGATTAAACCTTAAATAATCCCCACAGCAGATTATAGCATATATAATGGCAGAAGGAACATGCCCTGGTGCCCTGCGGATTAATTAACCTATGGTGGGCTGTGATATGATCCAAACCAAATCAATGTTTTCTCCTTCAAGTGGATTTTCACAGTCTAGAACAGGGGTCTCAAACTCAACTTACCTGGGGGCCGCTGGAAGTAGAGTCTGGGTGAGGCTGGGCCACATCAAGTATTCCACCACCGCGGTGGTGGTGGGCCACTCATCCCGTGGCCGGCCTGGGCGCTGCCGGCACTTTGAAGGCCGCAGGGCCCCTCCCCGTGCCCCACTCGTCCCAACAACAGGCCCGCGGGCCATGAGTTGGAGACCCCTGGTCTAGAATGACTAGCTGACTTCCTCTAAGAAGGCAAGCAGAAACACAAATTTACTGAGGTCGGCAGGAATCTCCACACTAAAGTATATTTCCAGACAAATTCCTATTGACTTGTGGTACTTTATGAATTAATGCGAAGAGATATTAAACCCCCATTCAGAATGAACAACACTTCTGTTTAATGAAAAGTGTCAATGGAGCAAGCTCAATTAGAATAAAATGAATTAGTAATACGAGTTCTAAACTGCATTTGGAATCTGACCATTTTATCAATCATTTTCAGTTGGGAAGCAGGAACATTTATCTAGTGTTTTCTGTAGAGTACGTATTTCTAGTTCTGGTCAATTTGCATTAATTACTTGCAGTTCGAAAGCATACAAATGCAGTAGATAAAAAGGTACCACTTCGGTGGGAAGGTAAACAGCGTTCTGTGCAATTCGGTGTTTAGTGATGCCGGCCACATGACCACAGAGACTGTCTAAGAACAAATGCTGGCTCCCTCGGCTAGGAAACGGAGATGAGCACCACCCCCTAGAGTCAGACATGACTGGACTTTAATGCCAAGGGGACATCTTTACCCTTACCTTTAAGCATACCAAGACCCTTCACACAGGTATAGCTACCCAAAGAAATGAATGAACCCAAATGAAAACACAACAGTGAGCATATAAAGCCTACAGTGGCTGAGATACTACAGTTATTGCACTGGGAAAACTGCCAATGCAAGAGGAAGAGTTAACGTTTTTGGATACCAAGCATTTTGGACAATTGTAATTTTACAGCACAAGCTTTTAGTTCAAAACTTTAGTCATATTCCTGGACAAAGAACTGGAGGGGCGGGTGGCAGCTTACTTAATTCCTTCCTTTTCTGTATCTTCCTTCTTCACCTACCCTAGTGAGTTTGATTTTTTTTGGTTTCCAGTAAATTATTTTGACTTGACAAAATAGCTACTCTCCCATAACCATTTATGGACTTTTGAGTAAGGGAAAAATAATGGTTACTGGTAAGGCTAGGAAGCAAGGAATTCTTATAGATTTGGAGGCCTAAAAATGTAATTTTATCTGCAGCAACATCTGTGAGTACAGGTTACCCAGTCAGCTTTCCTCCAGTCAGGTGGAGATATAAAAGTTGCTGGAGTTTACTTTAAACTAAAGAATGTGCACAGAAGCACACCTACAACATATGGCAATATCCAGTTTTGCCTTTCCACATGATAAGCCCACCACCACTTTTCTTGTGCAGGTGACCAGGGTCTTCAATTCTGTTGCACCCACTTTATGTCAAGATACATTGCAAAATAAAGGCTTAGTTCAGAATGCAAATAATTAAGAAAAAGTACTAATTTTAAAAAAAATCATAGTCTTATTCAATACTGATGTTGACTGGAACTTTCTTAAGGTTGAACAGTAGAACTTTGTTTCTTTGCATTCTTGCAATAATCACTGTATGCTAGGTTGTTCTACAATAACTTCTGCCAACAGTTATATAATATCTGCATTGCAACTAAGAACACTTTGAAAATAAAATTCATCCTGACAACCATCTAGATTGCATCATAATTATGCTGCACCCTACTATTTCCCAAAAAGGGGATCGTATAAAGCCTAGTCAGTGTTGACAAAAAGGCAATCCAATGAGTTCAACATGGATTCTTTTTTTGTAAACTTCATAAGGTTATCCTCTTCCTTTGAAAACCAGCCTCATGTAACACCTTCAGAAAAACAGGAAAACAGCAAGATGATTTAGACTAACAGCATGAAAACAAAGTAGATAGATTACATCAGCAGAACTGATAAATCTGTTGTTTCCAATGCAAATGAAAAATGGGCAAAAAAAGCATTAACAAAAGTAGGTCAAACAAAGTTGACACCTAGACCCTGGGCTTTCCTGATCTAGACCCACAGGATGACTCCTGTGGCACTGTGCTATGCAACAACATGCCTTGAAGGAAACACAATCAAATAAATCCCAACCAGAGCAGACAGCATGGCCAAGCTGTCAATTGGCCAGTCCATCACTTCTATAACATAGCAGTCAGCACATGCCAAGGCAAAATAAATCTTCTAGACTGCAATCCTTAACTGGAAGTAAATCCCACTGAATTTAATAAGACATACTTCTAAGTAGACCTGTATAAGAGTACACTAGCAAGTGGCAAAGCCAAGATATTCCATACCTACTGTATGTAATAGCTAGATGCTCATTTGGCTTTAACTTCACAGGGATGGAGGCTGCAAACCATTCTATCCCAAAAATGTTTTTACAGTTTGGAACTGGTTCCTGCTGCCAATTCAATTTAAACCCAAACTAAAATCTGATTCACTACCTCTAGGTTCCATTTCTCATCTTCTTTCAGTAACCTACAGAATTTGCCCTTCTCAATTTCTTTTAGAGATTCAGAATGCTTATTATGTCATGCCATCCCTTCTGCTAAACTTCCTTTCTCTAAATTACTAAAAACCTTAATTATTAAACATATTCTAAATGTATTACCATTTCCCCCACTTCCTTAAGATCATTACCCATTTCTTTATATGCTTCTGAAACATGATAACAGAGCAGGACACAAGAATTCAAATGCATCCTAATCAAGAATATTTGCATCTTATTTCTTTCATATGTAACATGCTTCCCCCCCTTTCTTTTTTTCAAGCTGAATCTCACTAGTTCTTTTATTCTATTGTACCTATACATTTTCTATTACAACTATACATTTGGGTACCTGTTTAAGCGAAATTGTGTGTATATTTAGATACATATAAACTGTTCTACATCGAATAGGTATCAAGATAGCAAGTAAGAAATCAAAATACCACCATAAAACTATAAAAGGCAGTTTAAAAAAAGCAGAACAGACTGATTAGCTTAAAATGCCTGAAAAAAACCTGCCATCATGATGACAGCACCACTCACATTTCCATGGGGAGGATGCTCCACAAACAGAGTGCCACAACAGAGAACTCTCTTTTCCTGGCTATTAGATGATACCTTGAGAAGAGCATCCACTGAAGATCTTAAGACATGAATAGGCTGGTATACAGAGAGTCATTCCTTAAACTTCAAAAGCAAGCACCAGCAACCTGAAGTGGCCCAAGAAGCAAATAGGCAGTAAGCAACTTTGGGATATGTTATTGGTAATGTGGCCACAGGTGCTGACACCCTAAACAGCCTGTTGCAGATGAAGTTACTGGAGCATCACTGAAGGCAGCTTTACATAGAATTCACATAGAATGAATTCTAGCATTTCAATAGGGAAGCTAGCAGAACAGAGACAAGACTTGGACACAACTGGACTTAATGTCATGGAGAAACCTTTTCCTTTTAGAGGTTTCCTGGAGGCAGAGTCAATGAGATCTAACTGTTTTCTTCTCACCCTCTTCCTCTGCAAAGACCTTAAGTACAATTAAGCACTTAACAGATGTCGCTTTCCCAGTTATGGGGATTCCACAAGTTTTGAGATACTGCTTGAAGCATCAAAAATAGTATTTGCTAAATTCGCAACAGTAACAATAGTCATTGCTAGCCAAAACCTCTAGCAAAGAATCATAGCTTTAAAATGAGATCAAGGTGATTTGTATTGAACTTTGCATTGTGCCTTTTTGGGGGCTGTATTGTTTGTGGTATAAAAATACAGCTATTTGTATTTTAGTATTTTGTATTCACACAGCTATTCCTATGGAAATTCTGGACATGTTTGTTTTACTTAAAAAAAATAAAGATGGGGAACTGAAATTCAAGGATGTTTTAGAATAGGCACTTTGTGACAATGTTCTAGAAGAACTAGTTGGCACAGTTTATTACATAATGGGATCCTTAGCTATTTTACATCTTCTAAATGTTTCAGACCATATCTTCTCTCTGCTTTCCATAGAAGAAACTAGCCATTTGGTTTTCAGCACTGTGACTCACCTTCCACGCTATCAGAACAGGAAGTTCCAATTCCAGTATCCCCACTGTCAGAAGCTATGCTGTGTCTTCTGATATGGGTACTTCGACTGCTTGATGGACCAGTTGTGGTTTGCCACAGTGAATCAGTTCCAGGTAACCATCCTGATGAGGAATATTCTGGGCCTGCAGAGAAAATAAAGTCTGATTTCAAAATAAGCTTAATACAATTCAACCACAAAGTGGGTTAGAATACACCCACATGTGAAAAAATTAAGAAACAATCATGCAGCTATTAGTTTCAATGTACTCTAATGTAGCTCTTCAGGGAAAATGCACAAACATGAAAACTAGCCTGTTAACTCAAAATAATATCATCAACATTACTAGTTCTTATAATGGTGTCTTTTCTTCCTACTTATTGTTAACTTGGATATACCTGGGAACTCAAAACATCCTGTACAATACTGTTTAAAAATAAAATGTTCCTCTACTACTCAGGTGTTGAGAGATAGGCAGGAAGTTGTAAGTTTTGATATATACAGTATGACATTCAGGATTGTAAAAACCTAATTATCACTGGTATGTTTACTGTTTTGCTAAAATGATAATTTAGAGAATTGTAATCAATACTGAACAGGATTTACACATCAAACTTTTATCCTCAAAAAGGCTTTCAACAGTTATTCACCAGCAGAGTTCTGTTTAAGTCAACCCACTAAGACTCCCTGACAAGACGGCACTTTTTAGCAACTATTACGCTAAGTGGTCACAACAGCTGGTGGTTGCCATACTAACCCACCACAAACTATTTGATATAAACCTCAAATAGAACAGTAAATATACTCCAGCCTACTCAATGATAGATTTCAAAACTTACTAATGTCACTACAATTTAAAACACATTAGCACAATATGACACAAACCATGTACTATGGCCAAACTTTGCACAAAATCATTAAAAAGTGGTCATGAAAGAATAGATTCTATGAACTGAAGCATATTAGTACAGACCAGGCATATTGCAGCCTTGTTCAAGATCTATGGAATCCAAAAGGGCCAGCTATTAAAAAAAAACATCTTGAAACTATTAGCTGATGAGGATTATCTTACATATATAGTTCCATGTTCATGCACTTCAACATGCATTTCACTGAAACAGAGACCAAGATCTATTGTATTAATATATTAAGAGTGTATACAGTACACTATTATATTCCTGATCATTATGTATGGGTATCAAAGCTAAACAATGAAGAAAGCTCTTAAGAAGAAAATGGATGCATTTGAAATATGGTACTGGAGGGGAGTTCTGAAAATATCCTGGACTGACAGGAAGATGGTGCAACCAATCCATTGTCCTGAGGTGGACAGTAGTTCCCCATGTTGTTGCTGTTGGGGTGGTTGAGGATAGGCTGGAGACCATGGGTGATCATACGGTGAGCAGTCCCATGGGTATCAAGATCTGCAATGAGGATACGGTGGTGGCATCCAGTACATCTGTCTCCCTTATCAATGGGGGTCCAGTTTGACTCTCTGGATGGAATGATGCACTGAAACTGGCAAAGGGTGTGGTGAGTATAGTCTGTATAAGCGTGGTGTCAGAGGAGGACGGAACTGAGGTTCCCTTTGTGGAGTGGTTCATCGAGCCAGAGACTCCAGCAGAACTGGTAAGCAGGGTGTAGAGTCCCCCTTTTCTCCCTCCAATATTGAGGTTGGCAAGATCATCTCTGTATGGTGGATCTCCAAGAGAGCTGGGGTCCCCAAACTAGACCATACTGATGGTGATCAGGTTGGAGGTGCAGGCCATACTGACACAGCTGCTGGTTCCATTTCTTGAGGGAGGCTCAAAAGTCTGTGGCACAGAGTGCAAATGGTGTTTTCCTTTTTTTTTCTCAGATTTGTCTCATACCAAGTGTTTGTTGCATTTTGGGTCCTTTGTCTCTAAATGTTTCCTTTTCTCCTTTTGTTTTTTAGGAGAACCAGAGGAGTCTGTCTGTTTTGGAGGGGTAGTGGAGGCCAAAGAAGGAGGGTATTGGAAGGGGCACATTCTGGGCATGGTTCGCCCAATCCTTCCCCAGTGGCGTTGCACACTACAGCTAGGGCTCTGCCTCACAGCTCTCTTTTAGGGATCCTTCATGGTCTTTTTGTAGCCTGCTTGGTAAAAGCTCAGCAATGAGGTCATTTGTCAATGTGAAGCCCCTTGCCAAGGCATAACAGGCAGAGTGAGTGGCCATCAGTTGAAGGCATTTTTACTCCACACTTGAAGCACTTAACACTGGGGGCTGAGCCATCGAGGAGGAGAAAGAGAACAAGATTTAGAGAAAGATGAAGGTAAAGGCAAAAACGGAAAATAAGGTGATAGATGTGTGTGTGTACAGTAGGGAGTTGCTCAAGGTGGTGGAAAGGGGAAGAAGGAAAAAGGGTGTTGAGTGTTCTTCAGGAGTAATAATGGGTAAAGGAAAATGTGAGGAAAATAAGAGATATTGTGAGTAGAATAATTACATGAGGTAAATGGAAACTACTAGGAAGATCTAGAAGAGTCCTGAGGCACAGTGAACAGTGGTTGAAAGGATAATGACAAAGGGCAGGAGCCCTGCCTACTTCTACTAAGGGGAGGGGATGAGGCTCCAGCAAAAAACCACTAGGTTAGGACAGGGGTCCTCAAACTTTTTCAACAGGGGGCCAGTTGAAAGGCGGTGGCAGCGGGTGTGGGCCAGTGAGGTGGCAGCAGGCACGCACGGCGAGGCGGTGGCTTGCTCCCTCAGAGATTTCTGAGCGAGTCCAAAACAATCTCCGAGAGAACAAGCCACCACCTCGCCATGAGCACAGCGAGGCAGCGGCAAGCATGCATGCGGTGAGGCAGGTGGCAGTGGCAGTGGGCGTGAGGAGTCCAAAACCTCCGAGGCAGGCTGGATAAATGGGCATGGTGGGCTGGATCTGGCCCACGGGCCGTAGTTTGAGGACTTACGAGCTAGGAGAATCTTCCTGAACTTAGGCACTGTGCAGGCGCACCACCCCATTTGTGTGATGCACAGAGACCACGAAGAAGAAGCAGAACTTTCACTGAAAGCAAAAATAACAAAACTTAAAACTGTCATACTTTGGACACATCGTAAGATGTTGTGAGCCGCCCCGAGGCTTCGGCGAATGGGGTGGCATAGAAATGCTTTAATAATAAATAAAATAAATAAGAAGGCAAGAACCACAGCAGAAGTCAATTATGCTAAGGAAAGTGGTAAGCAGAAGAAAAGGATGACCAAATGTGAGATGTATTGGCTCCATAAAGGGAGGCAAGGCCTTGACTCTGCAAGAGCTGGGCAGGGCTATCAAGGACAGGACATTTTGGAGGTCGGCCATTCATACGGTTGTCACCAAGGCAGAGATGATTTGATGGCATGTAACAACAAAACCAAAGCAAAACCAAACCAAACCAGTTCTTGCTGCCTATTTCAGACTTACATTTACATCTCCATTTGTGACACGAGCAGAAAGAAGGACAGATGCAAGTTCTTTTCTTGCCCACTCTTCTACCAGTGCACAGAGCTAGGCAACAAGCCCACATCTCAGACATAGGAGTATGCTGTTTCAGTAAGATACCATGCAATGTGGCTAGACTTGAACTACTTGCCTTGCAAGAGAAACTCTGTGTTCTAAGCATGCACATCTGCAAGACTGGGGTACCCAAGCATTTAAGGAGAACTACAGAATACATTTTTCCAAGTCAAACAACACATACAAATCTCATGTAACTTACTCTATTTTTTTCTCCTCTTCTAAGTGCCTGACTTTACAATGAACAATGCTAATAAAAGTAACTATGCTTCTGCAGGCATCAAATGAATGGAGAATGCAAAGCCATGCCCATGATGTTCCACCAGGATACCTAAATTATTCTGCTGTTCCTTCTTCAATCTTGCCAGTCAGAACAGACTGGCAGGCTTATCCAGTATGTGAGAAGAAAGGGATGGGTTAGCCACTACACACTGATGACAGGGCACATTAGAGAAAATCATGTAACTCAGCCAAGGCTTAAATTGGCCAGACTTCCACTGGACACAATTATCTTAAATATAAATAGTTCTACATACATATATGAACAGTTCATATTTAGATGCTCCTTACTTCATTTTCCTACCATGCTCAGTTTAATTTTGTAGGATGTCAATCTTATTTACATATTAGCTATGACCATTTGATTAAGATTTTTTTTTTCTGAAAGGCTCAAAAAGGAGGACTGCAACTCTGCTAGCAAGTATCATGTAATGTGTGGTTATGAAAAATGCAATTAATGTCCATTAAGTCATGAGGTTTTTTTTTAATGGACACAACTTTTGCCAACATGTGCACATAAAAATGGCATAAAACATGCATATTTTAAAGTAAAATAATAGTCATTCAGGTAGGCATGCTTCTATTAATTAAACACAGTCAGTCACAGTTTTCTATGGTCAGGTTTCCTGATTCTCATTGCATTTGACTATAAAAGTCATTTGAAAAAAGTCAATAGCCAGCAACCTAATATTCATCAAAATACAAGTCTGCCAACATGTATACTCCAATATTTTGGTTAGGTGATATAAAATCCTTTGAAGTCATCACTTTTGCAGCAGCTTATAAATACAGCATACTACATCATAAGCCCAGAGGGCATGAAATGTAATTAGAGATGCTCAGGGAAGCCAGAGATAACCTATCAACAATCTGCCTTAGCATACTGAAAAGTTTTTAAAACTCAGGTTTTAATTTGAGCACATCTGTATAACAAATGATAATGAGATGCATATCAATTTTCAAAGCACTTGTATCTTACTGATCTCATTTTAACCAAATTGTGGGCATCTGTGTTACTGCAACCACAGAATGGTACATGGCAATTGACACTGAAATCTAGTCCTTTATTAATCTGTTTTTATGTTTGGATTGCAAATTTCTAGTCCACATATAGTCAGTCAAGGAATATGGGGGATAAAAATTATGAAGACGTTTGCTTTAAAAAAAAAGTCTTAATGGATATTTCAATGTTCAGGGAAAAGATCCCTTGCTAATTGCAATTAGCAGTTATTTCTCAGAAAAAGCCCATTTTAATTACCTTAAACACTATTTGCTTCCTTTATACATATCCATCGTAGAGATGTGAGGTGGAATATTTTCCAAATTGGAAATTTCTCCAGTGTTTTATTTTT